GAGTGGTGTTGGGGGAAGTAGGAGAGGCCGAAGAGTTATTGAGTGTCATGAGGGAGGCTCGCGTGGACTATGAGGGGCAACGCAACGCCAAACAGAAGAGTACTACGGACGATGAAGACCGGAAGGAGCGGCTCGGAGCCATCATTAGGCAGCGTGCCACTGAGCCAGCCCGACGGCGCACAGGGGAAGTAGTAGTATTGGTGCAACGGTCAGGGGTGAGGATGGCAATACCGAATGCGAGGGGGAGGATAGCAGCATGGCCGGGACGGAGCGAGGCATTGCGAAAACGCGCAAGAGAGCATGGGCAAAGTTCAGCTCAATCGAGGATGAAACGGCGTCGTTCGTCGCCGCCTTAGAGAATGGAGACTAGAGGCGGAGTGAGATCGACAAGATGAGGCTTCACTTAGACCGGGACCGGTTCGAAGCGTAAGAAGCCAATCGCGAGCGTGAGAGAGAGGAGTTGAAGAAGGACATAGAGGCGGCGACGGGAATGGATATTGAATAGTTTCGAGTCTTGATCGACATGCTAAATAATTCTAGAGGCCCGGGAAGTAGAACCGAAGCCCGGCACGGTAGACCTCTGTAGTACTTGATGGCCATCAGCCCTCAAGTGAACCGGGTTTCGTGGATCCGCAAAAAGTCCTCCGATTCGCTCCAGCTCGCATTTTTCTACGTTCTTCGCGCGCCTCTGCTCGCCACGAACATTTTGTCCCTGGCTGGTGCCGCTGCCCCACAACCAGGAGGGGAGGTTCAAGCTCGGGGCGCGGGCCGTACAAGCGCGGCAGCGCAAAGATGACGATGGCGCTCAAGTCTGACCTAGTCGCGCTGCAGTCGAACGCACGCAGAGTTCTCGCCACGTCCATACACCTAGCTCACGTCTAAATTTGTTTTATCCTCGAGATGGCATGTATTCCTGCAGAGAAGGGGGCGAACACATAAAGTACTTTCGTACTTGGTTTCCATATATGAAAGAACAGAAGTTATTTAAAAGCATGCATGTAATATGAACCTACCGACAGGATCATGGAGAACGCGAAGTTTGCGGTCATATTCCATTATACTCCAGTGCATCTTTAGCTCCTTGAAAAGCCATTCAACAACTATCCTTCCTGTAGCCATCGCCAGGTTGAACGCGCTCTCATCATCAGCAATCTTGGCATCTTGTTAAGGTACCTGTAGGTATAAACGAATGCGTATCCGCTATCTCCATGCAGGAAATACTGCTTCCTGTTGATTAATAGGTAGGTGGCGAACTGGGAATCCAGTTCGAAGCGCGTATACAGCGTCCAATCAAGCCTCGGGGCATCCACTTGTCTGTATCCGTTAAACAGATTTCCATCTAGACAAATTAAAGCTTGATACTTGAGAGCATGGAATCGTTTGTGCCCGTTATAAACTACCTTTCGCAGTGCGTTATTACTTGGACTGGCGCTATATAGATCAGTTCCATCAATGAAACATATAGAGTTATTGAGAGCCTGGGTCTTATCGGAGACTAATTTGCGTACTGCTCGGCACGGGCAGAAATAAATGGTGCATGCAGAGTATTCGCGATGAGATACACATAATTTCAGTGAAGTCATGAATGGCCTCCCAGAACAGCTCAAAGAACAGAGATCTATGCTTTCGAAGGAATGATTCGCCGTCTGTCCATCCGTATGGCGTGGTTAGTCGGCTAAGGACAACAGAAGTAGTAAGTAGCCGTATAGCATTGTATCTATTCCGCTTGGTGATGAGGGGTCCGTCTTTGTCGCAGCAAATGGGAAGATTTTCAGAAGGTCTGTCATGAGAAAACCGAAGTGCGAAAAGACACGTGTGGTCACTGTGGTTGGTTAGTACATTCTCGAAGGTGGTCGTCGCAATGATATTGATGCGTCCCAGAAAGCCAGAGAATTTCTTATAGTGGCTGCCGTAGTTGGCGAACGCTCTTCTAAGATGTGCGTGCTCTACGAAGAGCCCTTTACTTTGCTGGCGGATGAGGGCGTAGGGTGTGAAGCGCCACGTTCGCGCCCCAATTCTGGTGACGGCCTTAGTGTTGGTAGTGAGTGTTGCCTTGCTCATGCTGCAGGACGAGAAGTGAGGGACGAGGTCGGGGAAGGGTGACGGGTACTTCTCATTTTCATAGTACTGCGTAAACTCATTCCTGCAATTGGCTTTTCAGAATTCTGCAATAGCGGGCTCTCCTGATCTACCCAGAGTAATTCCTGAAGTTTCCCAGAATTCTAGCTATGTGTAATATCTATGATGAATATCTGTGCAGATCGCTTTAGTGATATCCCCAGTGTAGTCTCTACTCTACTGTGTGCCTCTTTTGAGGCGCATGCCTCAAACGAGGCGCAACTTCAGGACCCCTGCAGACCCAAAACCGCTGGGTTAACCTAACATCATTTTCAGATCCCACGGGCCTCAAATCTGTGTGATACAGATATGCGTCGTTAACTTCACGGCTTACAGTCATGTAACGGTGACCGCGACCGCCACTATCGTCTCGTGCGTGCTTCTGAGAATCTTTATGGCGCCCCCAGTCCACCGTGGTAAGGCGGCCGGCGCGCGAGCGCACGCGAAAGCGCGCCATGTCACGATCAACGACGAGTGTGCGCAACAATATGGCTCCAATAAGAAGAGGAAACTAGTGAGCGGAGTGCTAGAATTGACTCAGAGCGATAGCTTGGATCCGCGCACCAGGTGTAATGTCACGGCGGGCCACGAGTTTAGTGGTGCAGATATCAAGCGGAAGTAGCCCAGCATACGATCAGTCAAGAGCACAGAACCCCGAGATCCTCCTGTGACCAACACCGCCAACGCTGGCCCTCGCTTGCTGCTCCCGCAGGAGAAATTGTCAAAGAAGAAGAGGACCACCATCGTATTGGAAAGCCTGCTTACAGCATACCTCCTGCCTCATCTTCGGATCAAACGGCCGGCGCAGCGGCCCCAGCGTTTGAGGAGATACTTCGACATCCATAGCAACTTCGCCAGTCGTTGCGGACGGCACAACGTGGTTCGCCAGAGTGCCGCCGTGAGGCCAGGTGTGAACGTGACGTCACGAAGATCTAACGCAGGTTCGGACGTGTAGCGTGAACGGGGAACCACCCGGTGATGATAGTCAATGGGTCCAGGCGCGGTGTGTGCAGTTGAGTTCGGGTAGAAGCGTCGGCCATAAAACGGGGAGAGAGAACAAAACGTACAAGCCACGAAGCGGCAAAAGAGCTAATGTAGGCGCCGTAGGGGCGCGTGGCAGCGTAGTAGGTCCCGAGCGAGGGAGGTAGTTGGTAGCAGCGCGCGGTGAGAGCAGTTGGGTCTCCGGGTGGTAGATAGCTCTGTTAGTGTGGACGTACCCGTACCGAGTCGAGGCTACTCCCTAGAATCCAGAAACCAAGGTTCAAGACGTCCGGATTTGTGCCTCTTTTCTTTCGGTATCGATTCCACTAATTAGTCCCCGTCGCCGTAATGACAAAAGCTAAATTATAGCAATAACTTGGATAGAACGGGGGTGGCCCCGATGAAACCAGGTAGGGCCCTACTGGCCCCACCTGGAAATAGTGACACGTGGCCACGTATAACGCTCGTCGGTTGGACGGGATGTGACACGTGTGACCCTCGTGCAAAAACCGGAGGCCCGCGCGATTTGGCGGGGTAGGAACAGCAGTCCCCAGAATTGTGTGCTGTGCACTTCAGTCGGCGACGATAAGAGAGATACCGGTCACTCTGTTCACTACTAGCCCTGGAGAATTATTTTGGCTTTAGTGAGTCGTTCTGGCCCGGGAGCGATGTATGCGGGTACACACCGATGGACTTCTTTCTCACGCTCTTCCCACGAAGCAACTCCGTGCTATGGTGACTCTAACGAACGAGAGACTACTGAAGAGTAATATGTTGTCAATTGCGGAAGGTGAACTGCTGAGATTCTTTGTCATCATGATACTCTGCACTCGGAACGAATTTGGAAACAGAGATCATCAGCGCTTTGAGATCTTCGAACGCTTGAAGTTGAGCCGCGGTCGGGTTAGCGTAGTCCGGATCCGCGTCTTTTCGCGTCGTATCGGTGAGGGGACGCGCAATTTTCGCGAATCACTTGACAAAGCGGCGGTAGACATTACACGCCCCAAGGAATGACCAGACCTGTGTCAACGTCCTCGGGAATTTAAATGTCTTGAACGCGCCAGCCGCCGCTTCTGCCACGCTCAACTTCCCTGGGGATATCACGTGTCCCAGGTAGTGTACACGTGGCTGAAAGAAGCTACATTTCTTCAACTTGAGAGAAATGCCGGCACTTCCCAATAGCCTCAAGGCCGCGTCCAATATCTATAGCGTGTTGCGCATGTGTGTCAGGAGACCATGACGTCGTCGAGATGCACTAGGGAAAGCTGCCATCGTACGCGAGAGAGAATCATGTCAAGCGCGTGTTAAAATGTATCTGGAGCTCGGCGTAGCCCGAAGGGCATTCGTATATGTCGGAAGGTCCCTATATGCGTTGTAAAGGTAGTCTTGTCGCGGTCCTCCGGCGCGACCGGAATCTGCCAATATCCCGAGTTACAGTCCAGCGTAGTGAACACAGCCGCGTCCCCCAATGAATCAATCCAGTCGTCCATATGCGGAAGTGGATACGAATGCACCAGCGTCTTCGCGTTCAACCGACGGTAGACAACACAGAAACGTAGACTACCGTCCCTTGTCCGGACAAGGACGACCGGGGACGCTCACTCGGTACTCGCGGGTTCTATTACCCCCGCGTTCAACATCTTCACTTCTTTTGCGATCATTTTGCGCATCGCGGGCCCTTTGCGGTAGGGCAAAGCGCGTATCAGTTTCGTGCCAGGCTCAAGTGGGATGCATTGTTCCGTCGCTCGGATCATTCGGAGCGCACCGCTCCACAAACTTGAGTGTTCGCGTAGCATCTCAAGCACCTGTACGCGTAATATTCGGCCTTGACGTGCGACAAATCAATTTCCTTTTCCCAATCTTCCGCGTTCGACTTGGGATCCTTATCTTGTACGCATCTGGTGTCCTCTGCGTAATTTGGGCACCATGCATGGCCCTCATATGCGTTTTTGTTGGCGTTCGTCTCGTCGGTGGAGTTAGGCCGTCCCGCTCCTACTTCTCGTTCTTGACCGTCTAAGTTGTTAAGATTTAGCGCCTGCGCGGTCACCTCTGCCACCTCACGCTCTGGCGTCAGGATGGCGAGGAGGTTTCGTTTCGCGTACCAAACGACTGTATGTTTCGGCAGCCGCCGTACCTGACGCGAAAAATTAGCGACAATAACTTCGAAGACCTGGTTCAGTGGCCCTTCTGCGACACCATTTGTCAGCTCTACCCCATGGCAGCGCTGAAGCGACGGTTTGGGCTCCAAAAATACCACGCTGCTCCCCGCCGTCGCACTGAATGGTGAAATCGTATTCAGCCAGACGTAGCCGCCACCGAGTGAGTCTTCCGGAACTCTCGGTGAGGGACATGACCCATCGGAGGGCGTCATGGTCCGTCCGTACGGTGAACTTCGTGCCTTCTACGTACGGCCGTAGTGTGCGGACGGCCCACACTACGCCGAAGCACTCGCGTTCGGTAGCGCTGTAGTTGCGCTCACTATCGGACAGTGAGTACGACCAATACCCCACGGGTCGCCAGTCGTTCGGCTCTTCGTGCTCCTGAAGTAAGGTGCAGCCGAGTTGGTAGGCACTCGCGTCGGTGTCTATCATGTACGGACGACCGTGCCGGGGCAAGGCGAGGATCGGCGGAGCGATCAGGCACTTCTTAAGTTTCTCGAACGCCTGAAGTTGCAGCTCCGTGGGGTTATAGAAATCGGGATCCGAATCCTTGCGCGTCATGTCGGTCAGAGGACGCGCAATCTTAGCGAACCCCTTAACGAATCGGCGGTATACGTTACACGCCCCGAGGAACGAGCGCACTTGCGTCAACGTCCTCGGGAACGTGAACGTCTTGAAAGCGTCGGCCGCCGTATCGGCCACGCTCAACTTGCCTGGGGAGATGACGTGCCCCAGGTAGTGCACCTTCGGTCGGAAGAAGCTGCACTTCTTGAGCTTAAGGGAGATACCGGAAGTCCGCAGTAAGCTCAAGACGGTATCGAGATGCCTCGCGTGTTCTCCGTGCGTACGGGAGAACACGATCACGTCGTCGAGATAGACGAGGCATATTTGCCAGCGGACTTCGGAGAGTATTATGTCGAGGGCACGTTGGAAGGGGACCGGTTCCCCTTTGAGTCCAAACGGCATGCGCAAGTGGCGAAACGTGCCCATGTGCGTCGTAAACGTGGTCTTATCCCGGTCTTCCGGAGCGACCGGGATCTGCCAATAACCGGAATTGCAGTCCAACGTGGTGAAGACGGCTGCATCTCCTAACGAGTCGATGCAGTCGTCCATCCGTGGCAGCGGATACGAATCCGCTGTGGTCTTCGCGTTGAGACGCCGGTAGTCCACGCAGAACCGAAGAGAGCCGTCTTTCTCCGGTACGAGCACCACCGGGGACGCCCACTCGGTGCTCGCGGGTTCGATAACCCCTGCGTTCAACATCTTGTTGACCTCCTTCGCGACCATTTCGCGCATGGCCGGGCCCTTCCGATAGGGCATAGAACGAATCGGTTTCGTTCCCGGTTCGAGGGGAATGCGGTGCTCCGTGGCTTGGATCGTTCCAAGCGCACCGCTCCACAGACTCGAGTGCTTACGGAGCATCTCGAGTACGTGGCCACGGAGCTTGTCGTCGTCGATGTATGACAGGTCGATCTCTTTTTCCCAATCCATCGGTGGATTTTCGGGATCCTTTTGCTGGTGGAGTACAGTACTCCTTGCCGTCGGTTGGCATAAAGGTGACAGTTCGTCCGGGTCGACCCCCCTGCCCCCGGCGATGGTCTTATCGTCGGAGTTGGATCGGCCAACTCCTACCCCACCGACTTGATCGGTCAAGTCGGTCAGGTGTAGCGCGTGCGCGATCCCCTCGGGGACCTTACGTTCGGGAGTGAGGATCGCGAGGGGGTTGCCCTTCGCGTGTCCCACGACGGTGTGCTTCGGAAGCCTCTTTTCTCGTCGTGAGAAATTTGCGACGATGACGTCGAAGGTCTGATTCGGTAGGACCTCCGCGACGCCATTCGTCAGCCTCACTCCATGTCGGTGTTGGAGTGAGGGCTTGGGTTCCAGGAACACGAGGCCCCTCCCTGCGGTTGTCACACGCACGCGGGCTTGTGACATCGCGGGGATGGTAACCCAGCGGGCGATTCGGATCGCCTGCCGGGCCTCCTTGCGTACGTCCGGCCGACCCGTGTGTCGTCCGTGTCGCCTGGTAGGGGGCGTCGACTCCCCCTTTCCGTCGACGATGGCGACGGAACCGCCTTGGCGTAGCTCCATTCGTTGAGCTTCGATGTCGATACATCGCACGTGCGTATCGATGAAGGACGTGCCGAGGAGGACCGGCACGGCGAGCTGGTCCGCGACTACGAACGGATTTCGGAACACCGTGTTCCTCAACCGCAAGGCCAGGCGGACGACGGCCGAAAGCTTGAGGGGGTTGCTGTTCGCGCCTGCCAGTCGTGGCAGAGGTGCGTCGTGCACGACGTAACGCGTCCAATCGGGGGGAAGGTCGGCCTTCCTCACTAGATTATACCCCGAGCACGTATCAACGGCGATCGTGCAGGGTTTAAATGCATTTCCCTCTGTGGCTATCGAGCCGAGGACGTTGCAGATCTTCGACGTCATAAGGCAAATGACGCCGTCGACAACCTTCGGGGCGACCTTATCGGTGAGGTCGTTCCGCCGGGGCCTTCGATTTCGGTGCTGGCCCCGCTTGCGTTTTCTTTTCCCCCTTCCTTGGGGCGTCCGTGGATCAGTGACGCCCCAAGAATTACTCGAGTCCGTACGACACAGACCTTTCTCCGGCGACCTTGGGCTCGCGGGAGTCAGGGGGTCAATCGAATCTTTTCGGTCGTTGTTGCCCCCGTCGCGGTCGTTACGCCTCACCGGGACGTCGGCTGTCCCCGTGTCTTGTTCTCCTAACGTCGGGCCTTCAGAGGCTTCGACGTGCGCTCCCTCTGGTATTGGCATTACAGGAGCTCCCGTGCTCGCCTCCGGTAGTGAGGGATGTATTATCGGACAATACCCCCCGTGTCCTTGGCGAGCACGCAGGGTCGGGTCTAGTTCGTGGGGAAAAGACGGCTCACGCGACCGCGTGTACGTAACCGTCTTTACCCTTTTTCCGAACTACCTGTGCTATCGGAGCTAACCTCCTGGCTATCGACGGCCAGGCCTTCTTCGGGTAGCCGTCCGCGTGGGTCGGGACGATTCCCCCACTGCGGCTCAGCGGCCCTGGCGAAGTATTCGGGTACTTCCGGGCCTTGACCTGCGGCGTCCGGTCGTCGCAGGATATGGGGGACGAAGCGAGTCGGCTCGCCTTCGTGACCCTCCGTGGGTAGAGGGTACGGATCCTCTACCCAGTCTTGCAGGTACATTATCGCATTTTGTACCTGTTGGGGTAACCGAGAACGGTCTCGGTCCCCTCTTTCTCCTTGACGGGGGTACCTTGTGTCCGCCTGCCGGTAGGCGGGTCGATCCCGATGATCGACTTCGTTACGACGGTACCTGCCTCCACGGGGGGCGAAGCGTGCGCCCCCACCCGATCGGTTCGGGAAACCTTGACGCCGGGGACGGCCCTCGCCCGCCGCTTGCCGGAGGAGATTACGCGCACCGGGGCATGTCTCCATCTGGTAGCGGTAGTTCCTGTACGCCGTGAACATTCGTTGCTCCGGCGACAGGAAAGGGCACGCGTACATGGCATGCCCGTACGTACGGCATAGCCAGCACACGTACGCGCTGCCGTCCGTTGAGGCGAAGGTCGCCGCGTGCCGCGCCTCCTCATCGGTGAGGAGGGGCACGCGAGGCGCTCCGCCTCCTGCATCTCCGTTTGATATGTCGAGCTCTGCGACCCGGGGGTCCGTACCCCTTGCCACTCTTGGAGTGGCCGCGAACGCGGTCGCGTAACTCGATTTCGTTCCGGTCGACATCGGTGAGGGGGTTCGTGCCCCCACGGGCCCTGCTCCTTGCGTAATGAGGACAGGGTCGGCCTGCCACTCATCCTCCCCGATATGGAGGGTCGAGGCGGGCGAACTTGTCGCGGCGGACTTCGTAGTCCTGCCAGCCCTCCCTGCCGGTTTCGAATCCGGCAGAGGTAAACCGCGCCGAGCGCGGTACATTGTACCTTCCGCCGTGGCGATACGGCGGATGGTCGGAAGATCGGTCTTCTGACTGCCTGGCAGCCTTTGCACAGTTTCGGATACTACCGCACAGGTTGCCGGTGCAAGTCCCCGCACGAAGTAGTGCGCGAGGGACTGTTCGGAAAACACTGCCGTGCATCGGAACGCCGCAGTCTCGAGTCGGTCAGCAAACGTGCTTTCCGTCTCATGCGATTGCTGTCGCGCCGTAGCGACAGCGTCGTACGCTTCACCTAACACGTCGTCCGTGGGGTAGCGTTTTAAGAATTGATTCACGAGCCCCGGCCAGCTCACGTCGTCATGGAGCTGGCCGGCGCGGAGGCCACGCATCGTATAACTCGTATACAGGCGCTCCGCGTCGCGCTCGAGGAGGTGAGCGAGGAC